ATGCTGCTTAATATTTATTTTTTAAATTTTTATTTAAATTGGGACTTTACTCTATTGACTGCTGTAGATGTAATTATTGCTATTGGTAACTGATATTTTCTAAAAGATATCTTTAGGGATTTAATTACTGTCTCACACCTAATTCTGATAACTTGATTAAAAATATAGTAAACATTAGGTTTATCTTTACATGGATACTTAAAAAAAAAGAAAAAGAAAAGAATGGTTACTTCAAAAAATGAAATATATATATAAACATTGAGATAAAGTAGTCTCTTTTTTATCTCATCTCATAATGCAATAGTCTATTTTAAAGTGAATTGGTACCTCCTTACTCTTGGGCTCTACAGTCCATGAAAGATCTTGGTCTCCTGGCTTCATTCTCCCATATGTTTGATCTTTATCTTGCACTTTTTAATTTTCAAATCTCCCTCTATCTCATATTACAGCCATTTTTTACCGGGATGTCCAAGATTTCTCCTTGACTCTAGTCTTCCTATATAGATTTTCTTCAATGCTGTTTCATCACTTATTCGCTCCAAGTGACCGAGAAATTTGATTTGTTTTTGTTATTATATTTACTCTTTTTCTTAAGAGCTGTTTAACTCTAAATTACTCTTAATTATCCACAAGTCTCTATGATTGATTAGTTCATATATATTTTTCTTAGAATCTTTCTTTTAAAAATAGAAGGTCCATATATTTTCAGTAGAATCTTTCAATCTTGCGTAACAACGTTTCTTTTCATTTGGATAACAGTTGTTATATCACATTATGCTTTTTAAAAACTTTTTTTTTACGTGGATTGAATGGTGGTTATTCGTGCAATATTTGCAGAATTCTATGTTTAAAAATAAAATCAATAAATTTCTGCTCTTTGCTAACTTTGAATGCTAACTTTGAAACGTACTTTTGAATGCTCTTGTTACCTTCACAGATCCCTGTTTCAATCTTTTCTTTTTTGCTGTTAATGCAATTGATTTTCTCATTGTTTATAAAATTCTGACATTATTACAACATGATCACTTCTAGGACATGCATTTCAGTGATAAATATTTGATCAATATTTGTTTTGTGCATGAAAACAACATTCTTTAATTTATCTTTTGTTTGCAGAAAGGAAAAAAAAGGAAATTAAGAACTTAAAAAAAGAAAAACTACCTGTTGCGAAAAGAAAAATCGGATAATTTCTTCTACCTACTATCACCTGTCTAAGTTAACGCTGTAAAGACTTAAGATAAAATTATTGCAAGTGTATTAAATGAAGTATCTATTACCTGTTTAAAAATGTTTTTTTTTTTATTATATATTTTTAGGAGGCTTTTATAGCTTTGATGTCTGAAAATGGCCGTACAGTTCTCAGGAGCAGGCTTTACCCGCCCAGGCCCAGTTCAGATTTTACTACAGGGTAAAACTAAATTTCTTTCACTTTAAAAATGACTTTATGATTATTAACATCCATGTTGTTATTCGAAATAAAGTAATTAAAACCAGTAGTTTCAATTCAAAAAAAGAAAGAGTATACTTTATGTTCGTTGATTTAAATCACGATTTAAATCAACCAACCCTGCACATGCTATATTTTCGGTTCAATTAAGCAAGAACCTTCCTTGATACCCGTGTTTCAACTCTGAGGAGAGATCTTGTTTATTGAATCGAAATTATAGTTTGTCAGTTTTTGTGCTATTATATTTTATTTGTTCATTATCTTTATTTTCTTTCAATAATTTTAATCACTTCATTTTTTCATTAAAAAAAAAGTCATCGATTTTTTTTTGTTTAAAATGAAAACACAATGAGATATGCTTTTAGTGAGATTTTTTTTTTGCTTATTGAGAATTATAGAATTTTTATGAATGTACAATCATATATACCAGGGGTGGCGAAACTTTATACACCAACGTGCCATTTTTTCTAAAAAGTTGTTTAATGAAATCACAGATGTGCCGTCAAATAATTTTGACTTCATTATTATTGGGCAAATAATAATACTAAATACTATCAACTCAAAACTCTTTATTCGCATTGAAAAGAAAATACATTTTGCAATGTCTTAGTTATATGCGTAATTCAACTTAAAGTAGTATCAGTGGGACTTCTGTTATTGCAGATTAAATGACAAATAACTTATATAAGATATTAGTTTCAGCAGGACTGTTGATTTTTGCTAGTAATTTATTGTTAGCTTGTTTTTTATGGTTATTATTTGTTTTTTAAGCATTAATTGTAAATTTTTTTATTAATAATTGTTTATTATTATTTTTTTTGTGAATTTTGATTTNGGTTTTTTCAATAAAACCCAGGTGGGTTGGGTTTTTTCAAAAATCCCCGGGTTTTTTCAAACCCTGTAGTGCAATAACAATTGTGGTCAGTGGCGTGCCCAAAATATTGTGTCGCGTATCATTGGTTCGCCATCCTTGATATATACTATTTACTAGCAAAAAATGATAAATAATTAAAAAAAATTCTGAAGCAGCGTTAAGAAAATATATAAATGCAAAAATTACGTGTTTGTCTAGAATTAATATTTTCTGTCAATTCCTTCTGTTATATTTCAATTAAAAATAGTTCTTTTTCCTTGGTAGTAATTATAAAAATGACATTGTTAGTACCCTGCATAAATCCTATCATTAGATCAATAGTTATTGAAAGTCTTATTTTATTATTTGCAATTTTGTTAATTATTTAAAGTGCATTAATAATTAACTGCATTGATATTAAACTTGAAGAAAGAATATAGGATATTCTTTATTCTTAGTAAAGACATTTAGTGCTTATTTTATTTTGAGGGGCTGTCAATGTAAGAGATACCCAGTCATTATTAATATTTTTTTTATTAAAGGAATGAAACTTTTGAATTGTTATTAAAACTAATTTTAAAATAAGTTTTCAATATTTTTTTCTCTAGCTTGGTTGCATTCAAGTTTGCTAAGGATGCTGCAGAAGTTATGCATCGAATGAATAAGAAACCCCCATTGAATATGGAGATGACTTATGCTCACAAGAAGAAGCACTCAAGGATAAGGGTAGAAATTAGTTTTTAGTTTAATCCATTGACTCTAAAACTGTGTTTAACACCTTTTTTTTAAAACCCAATCTGAGTTGGTTTTATTGTTTTCATTTTTTATAATGTTACATAGTTTAACACTTTTTTGGTTTAATTTTTGCTTCAAAAGGGAACGATTTTAGTTATAAAGAAAACTTTCCTGGGAAAATGATTAAATAATGAATTAAAATAATTAAATTGCTTTAATTTTATTGTAGTACCATGTTTTCATTCTGGTATTAATAAAAGGCTTTTACATTAACTCCTCTTCTGTGACTAGGAAACGTAAGTATAATATTGGGGTCGCAGAAAAATGCTGTTTTCTGTTTTATATCTTTGTTTTTAAATATTTAAGCTACAATTTCTTGTTTTTCTTTTTTATGTTAAAATGAAGTAAGTGCATAACCAACACAACTAACTACATCACTACTGTTTATTTTACAAGTTTTTATAACAGTTTTTGAATTACTCTTGGAATTATGTATTTAGAATTAGTTTCTCTGTGATCAATAAAATAATTAATTGTGTCGACGTTTATTGAAAGCAACATAAGTTAATGCTAATTTCATATTATCCAGTATTTTATCATGGTTTGAAATTTGTACTTTAATCAGATTTAAATGTATTTGTGAAAGCTTTCCTGATTGTTGATGTCTGTTGTGTTTATAAAGTTTGTATGATTGGGAAACTGTCTAAGAGAAAATTGTACCAGCCTATTTATTAACTGAACTTTACTGTTTATTGTAATCTGAGTTTTTTTAAAATTTTTTAGGGTGACAACCAAAGTGACTCATCATCTGGTTCACATTCAAGAATGCCACCTCAGTCATCCGTTTCTGATGAAGTTCCGTCCCTGGGTAATAAAGGTAGGTGTGCAAAATTTAAAATTAATTTTATGTATTTTTTCTCTTTTTTTGTACTATTCATTTATTCACAAAACTAACTGTAAAGTATGCAACCATTATAAATATTAGAATAAAATAAATTCTTATTACATCTATTCCTTCATACAAATTTGAGCTTTGACTCTCCTCTTGGAATTGCGATAATACATTTTTAATATTTAATAATTAAACTTATTTTTTTAACAGTTTTAATCTGTTAACCATGCCATAAATCAGTTCCTTAATTCAACAACAGTATTTTAACTGATAACTAGGGTTTAAAAAAAACTGGTATTTTGTTTAAAAGGCACATAGACACTTTAAACCCATCTTTTGGGGTTTTAATTTTTATTTTGAGAGAATAATATTAGCTAAAAAAGAACTATTTCACCATAGTATAGTTCAATTAATTAATAAATAAATTGAAAAAATGGCTAAAATTTTGTTCAGTCTTTTTCTGCTGATATTAATAATTTAGATTTTCCTACCTTATTCTTGTGTTTTTGGGTGGGTTGAAAATCCTGTTAAAAACTAAATCAAAATCCTTCATAGTGAATCCATAAATGAATATGCTGAGAAATGAATAAAATATATTAGAAAATTGTTGTCATTCTTGTTATCACTGCTAATATAAAATGTTTTTTGTATGAGTAATTTAAATGGTTTTTTACCAGCTTTTTTATTTAATTTTTTCAAATTTATTTTAATCTAAAATTTATTTTTTGAGGGATTAGTATAAGATACCTTTTCTTTTTATGTAAAGATTAAGTTGGCAATTAGCTTATTGTATTTAAATTTTTTGTTATTTCCTAAAGTCCTAGTGAAAGTATCTGCTGTAAGATGTATATGTATTTAGTTGAATTACATGTTTTAGTTATACAAATGCTTTGAATAACATCCTATCATTTACAGTTAGATTATTTGAATGATTTCAACTATTAAACACATTTGTAAACATATTTTCTTATGTTAATATTTTTTTGGATGAACATTAAATTGTGTAAATTAAAATAATTACTGGTTATAGTATTTTATTTACGTTTCATATGATATTTTTGTATCAGATGTTAAGTAAGAAATTTATTATCATTTAGGTCGTGGAAGTTTTCTTAGTAATGCCTTAAAGTTCTCAAAATCTCCGGTAAGTATAATATAATTTCTTAATTCAATACTACATTTTTGTGTGTATGTCAATTTTTAAAATATTTTGCTTCTTATTCAACAAACTGTTTTAAATAACATAGCATATATTTTTTCATTTAAACAAATAAAAAAATGCCTAATAAGAAATTAACTATCTTAGACAGAGCTTACCGTTTATCATTTGAATTCTGTCCATATTTTAGGTTGACCTTCAAAATGACTCTTCTTCATTTGATTCACATTCAAAAAAGAAACCTCTGTCAACTACTTCTGATCCTGTTCCTTCCTTGGGTGGTAAAGGTAAATGTGTGCAATTTAAAATTCATTTTGCAAATTTTTATTTTCTGTATCAGATGCAATTTTCAATAAGGCTCTATAAATCTCAAATATCTGGATGAATCAATATCTTAAATGATAAAAATTGTTATAACAAATGAAAAAGTCAGGGTTTGCGTTATTTAAACTATTGTTTTGGAAGAATTTTTTAGATTTTTAGTTTTTGGATTGAATGAAAATTTTATTTTACTGTATTAATAAAATCGTTTACTGTAAATTACCTAATCTTGGGGTTCATATCATTACAAAATGCCTTCAACAGAAAATACATTTAATAATAATAGAAAAAAAAAGGAATGATGTTAATGCTATTTTCTCAGAGAGGATTCTGAATAATAATTCACATTTACATTACTGCACTGAGCACCATCTGTTTGTTTTGAGAAATATTTATCCCATATATATTTCTCAAATTTAAAGTAGCTATACTTTAAAAAAAAAAAAAATTTACTTTTTTATACTTAATGAACAATTCTATAAAGATTATAACTCAGTAATGTTAATCTAATTCCTAAAATAATATTTTTTGCTAACATTAGTTCAAACTACTTGCTAAAACACTTCTTTATCTATGGAATTATTAAAATTTAAATAAATAAAGTATCAAGTAAGGTAATTAAATTATCATATGAATAATAATCAAACAATTTTTAGGATGCAAATTATTTCTTATGCGAATTGTTTTTTCAATTAAGCAATATTGCAAGATAAAATGTTCCAATAATAATAAATGTGAATTTAAATTTCAAATAGAGTGTTAAAAAATTTATAATTACAATACTTAACTTCAAATAAAATGTTCAAATTAAGTTAATTGTTCACTCCTAAATTATGTAATAAATTTATGGGACATTTGATTATTGACATTTCAGGTTTCAAAGCACATGCTCTTATTTTGTTTTCACGTTCTTGAAATGTTTCCTCAATTTTTACTTCTCACTTCTTGGAATTTCGTCTTGCATTGAAACAATATCATTTACCTAAAAACTGCTATTACCTTTATCTAGATTGACATAATTGACAGCTCTTAAATTAAAAAGATAGTCTTTCTCAATTTCCCTTAAAATTGATTTAACAGCCTCTCTCGGTATTTTTTTTAACCAATATTTTTCGATCATACAGTCATTCCCTGATAATTAGAAAGATGGTAAACTTATCAATCGTTGTGTTCCAAGCTGCACATGGGATGATGTACGAGGAAAAGTTTCTGGCGAGCCTGTAGTCACATACATAATGGGTCTAGAGTTGATCAAAGCTTCAATTTCACACGGAACTGTTTCTAGTTCTTCACTAGTTGAAAATTATTTCCTCAGAAATTTCCTAAGAATGATTTTCAATAAATGAATTTCCACGCTATTCCTTTTGAGGAATAAAACTTGCTTATTTCTTAACTGCTAAACATAGTCCGTGTTTTTTTTCTTTCTTTTCGAGTCAAATTCTGCTCATTTGAATGTTGGAGCATTGCCTGAATAAATAACAGAGCTAAGTCTTCACCTTGATGTAAGTAAGTAAAATACTTCAGTTGTTTAACTGGAAACTATTTCCAAGTGCATTGCTCCTGTTATTGCACAGGTACAGTCCGCAAATAAAAAAAGAGAAGATATCACTCTGAATAACTTTTGTTCTGATGATCAGGTTTTCACGAACTAAATGTCAATCTTAATGGTTCCTAGGGGTGATTTCAAATATGCTAATTACAGGGGTCGCATTCCCCCTAAAATTCATAAAATTCCTAAAAGTATGTGCAAACCCAAAAATTCCTAAAAATCTGATAAAATTTTGTTGGTGTTCCTAAAAAATTAGAGTTATAGGCTAAATATAAATAAAAAAGCAATAATCTAAAATATAAGAATTTAACTACAATAATTAAAACTGTTTTAATTTTGCCACATGGGAATTCTGACCCTGAGAGAGGTTTTACGATAAATAAAGCAATGCTTAATGTGAGTCACCATGAGAATACTATTATGTCTCTTAGACTAATCAAAGATACCATTCAAAATTATCGAGGAGTGTTGAAGATCACCACAACACTATTGAGGGCAGTAAAAGAATCTCACAAATCATATCAAGAATATCTTAAAAATGATCATGATTAATTTGTTTTTCCCTAACTTCTAATATAAATTGCTGATTAGAAATCTAATAATATCACACAATAGTTTTTCTTAATAAAGTAAGGTAAAGGGTAATAATAAAGTTTTGATTAAGAAGGTAAAAATTAAATAAAAATCCAAGTTGGTGTTAATTTATTTTTTCTCTTGATTTATTCTCACTTTTGTCTGTTCCTGAATTATGCACTTAATTTCTGATAGGTAATATGTAAAGTTGAAATTTCATTTTTACACTTTAGAGATTTCATTCTTGACTTAATAAATTTCAGAGCTTTATTTTATGGCTTGCAATTATTTATGATATGTGTGGATGAATTGTAATAATCTTCTGTTATGTAATAAACTACCGTGTGATCTGTTTTTATCCTAGCAAAATCATATATTACCCCTAAAATTTACCTAAAATTTTTTGAAAAAAGTTCCTAAAATTACCCTAAAATTTTAAAAAACTTTGCTGCTACCCCTGTAATTAATTAGTGCTAACTATTAATTAAGCTATAATCAGACACAAAAGCATACTTTCTCTGATAAAACTTTTTTTTAACATATTTGGAATTCTGATTCAAAATTTCGTAAAAATTGGGTCACAATAAAGATAATTTAAAACAACCATAAGGAAACTGAGTGAATGACAAGAAGACAGAACAATGTGTTTCTCCATTGCTAAGCAACCAAGAGGAACAACTGTTTTCTTTGCTTTCTGGGCAAAGAAAACTGTTTTCTTTTTAATTTCCTTTGAAAATAAAATTTCAACAGTTTAATAAATTATTTATGATTTTCCAAGATTTCAGAATCTGTACGTTGAACTTTTGATCTGGCATTATTTATTTTTTTAAAGCTGTTTTAGCGTCATTTGAATGAAAAGTTTGTACAAAAACCAAATTTACATAAGCTATACATTTATGAAGAGTTGTAGGGCTAATTGCGTTTACTGCTCAGTTCGAGTCTCTTAGGTTTATAATTATTACATTATGTACTAAAATTTCACTGAATTTGGAAAACTAATAAAAAATTTAATATAATTCTATTTTTTTCATTTTTTCAAACATATTGGGAAAACTATTAATGATTTATGTGATGAATAGGCTTGTAGGTATTACATACAAAATTTTTAAGTGTTTAAATAGATATAAGTTTTCTTATTTCACATATATGTCCTTGTGTAATGATATTTTGAAATATATCTATAATATAGCATCACTTTCAAGATATACATATTTTTTTCAAACTTATTTGTTTAATATTGAAAATTGTAATTCATTTTGTAATTAATCTCATTTCATATGATATGTGATATTTTCTGCATAACATTTTGGAAGTCACATTTAAATTTTATAAAATTAGTTTTATCTTTATTTTGATTGGTGATGATACATAAGAAATATATGAATGACATGAGAAATATGATATATATAAGAAAAACATGATGTAATAAATATTAAAGAAAAACAATGACTCCCACTTCTTTCATAAATAAGTTTAAGATTTGCTTTATTATTGCAGCATGTTAAAATTCATTTTCAAGACTTTTGTATAAAATTCTTTTTCAAGGTAATATATCTATATTTATATATAATACCTTTCTATACAATTATTACTAAAAGCAACCTTTAATTTATACTATTTGCAAAATGTATCATTTTCAGCTGTATTTTCAGCTGTAGGATAAACATTAAAAGGTATAAACTCAAATAATTACTCATGTTCTTTCTATATATCATTTGGCATTTTTGTATCAATTGTTAAATAAAAAGTTTCTTTTCTTTAGGTCGTGGAAACCTTTTTAGTAATGACTCGAAATTCCCAGTAAGTAATTCCTTAATTCAATACTGTGCTTTCATGTGTATATCAGTATATGAACTGATTTTCTTAAATTTCACTTAACTATTTCCTTTAAAAAGTAATCATAGCATTTATTTTCCAATTGTTTCATTTAAATCATTTTTTTTAAGATTCACAATTGCATAAAATTTAAAAAAATTTATGATATAGGAGTTGATATATATAGTATATGATAACAAGATAATTACAGATAATTATTTTTTTCTAAATAATATTTTTATGAGGTTCACCCTTGTTGCATTTATTTAAAATTATTTTGTGAAGTCTTATAGTATGTTTTTTCTTTTCAAAGCGTCTAAGAGTAGTATTGGATGGTCAAAAGCGATCTTCTGAAATTATTTCTTTACCTCCATCAGACCTCCCACAACTGGTTGAAAACCCATTTCTGAAATGTTTATGTTGTGATAATGTTGGTATGTAAAATATTTTATTTCACTACACTTTCAATTTCATTTTATGTGAGAAAGTTAGAACATTTCATCAAGACTTTACCGTCTTAGTAAGGTATAAGGTTGAGTGTATATCTAAACTATTCTTCACCTTTAGAGGTCATTTTTGACCCCAATGTGTATAAATTTTCCCTTAAAGTAATGTAAGGTTTCTGTTTGAAAGAAAAAAAAACAGTTGTGTTAAAAGTGAAAAAAAGTCCTACAGGTTTTTAAGCTTTTCTAACTTTTTAACAAAGTGGATACTATAACAAATTTATGAAAACTTTTACTTCCGAAACAAAATAATTGTTTATTATCATTTAAATGAAGACTTTCCAAACTATTAAAACTACAGTTATAATAAAGCTTTAGTTGTTATATAATTCAGTTAAATTAACTTTATATCTGAATTAAGATGCATTCAACATATTTAGAGAGCATACTAACATACCTTCCAGGGGTCTGTCCAGGCCAAATTTACTACCGTTTAGCCCTGTGGCAGAATTTTTTCAGGCTTTCTGCAACAAACTTCCCTAACACTAAGAGAACCGTCGAGTTTACAGAAGAAAGTATAGACTAAAAATGTATAAAAAAGTTTTAATTGTAAAAGTAATATTTTATAAATTCTAATATTATAGGTGATATTTTCGCATTTTGATGCCGGAGAAATGCACTGATTATTTTCTCATTCGAATTTTTTAAATCATCACGCAAATTGAAATTCGTAAATAATTTAAATGATAATAAATTAAAAAATCATAAAAACCGTACGTAACTACCAAAATAAAGATCAACGACAAAATCACGCAAATAGGACTCTTTTAAAAAAGAGATACTAAAATATGTGTATGTAAAACATGGCGTTCCAAAATGAAAGAAATATCATTTCTACTATTGCGATTTCTGAATTTTTTATTTTATATTATTAATTTGAAATTCTAGCTGATGACAGTTATTACCGATTTTGTTAAAATCTCAAATGAGAATTCATCATGATTTTCATCTTTCCTCTCTGATGCGCAAGAAAGGTATATTTGAAAAAAAATTCTGCAGGGGAAAAAAAACATTTTTCGTAGAGAGGAAAATCAAAATGTTTCCAATCCCAAATGAAAAAATTTTCTGCAAAAACTCTGTAACGTTCTGCAACAATGTCGCCGTAATTCTGCCACAGGGCCCTTTAGTGGAACCTTCACAAAAGACTCTTTCTTAAAATTTTATTTTAGTATCCCTTAAGAAAGGATAAATCCATATTTTTGTGTTGATTTTTTTGATATAATTTATAATTTTCACAAATTAGGACTAAATTTTCACAAAATAGGTACCTCTCAGAAAAATCTAGACAGACCCCTGCCTTCAATTAGGGCAACCTGTTTGTCCTTGGAATTTTTTTTTTTATGTATTTCAATTATGTTCTGAAACTAATTATATACTCTTTTAAGATTGCATTGGATTGAAATTGACTTAGGCTTCATGTAATTTTTTTAAATTTGTAGATTAAATCTTTCCATTGTACATTAATCTTTCATCTTTAGTTCATATTGAATTCATGATAAATTCAGTATATGAGCGTTTTCCTTAAGCTTTATTCAACAGTCAATTTAGATACTATATAGACTTAAGAAGAAAAATTTTAAATATTTCAAATGAAACCTCATTTTCCCCCTTCAAATTTCACTACAATCTACAAAATGGTTAGTTTTAATAATATTGAAAGAAAAATTAAATTACGAATTTTTGTGGTGATTTCTCTCTCTCTCTTTGAAAAAAATCTCTTCTATTATCACTGATGGAACACCTGATATTGGTCCTGACATAGTATCCTAGAGGGTTCTGGGAAATATATTCTAGCATTGTTAAATAGCTACTAATTATTCTGCATTTTACATAAGCTTTTTACATTTCTGCTGTATTTTCTGCCTTACTGCCCTGAGATGTATGTTCTAATTTCAAAAATCCATACTTTAAATTTACTCCTCATGTTTTGTATTATTCAAACCTAATTCAAGAGTAATGGTTGTAAAAATATTGTCATTTTTAAACCTATGTGAATGTTTGCTGTTATAACTGTCCAAGAATGGTCAGAATTGAATAGTATTAAAAGTAATAGGAATCTAAAAACGTGTTGAAAATTCGTAGTCATGGGTGCAAGTCTTCCGTCCCCAGGACGGATTTCCGTCTTTCGAAAGTGTCCGCGGACGGAAGTAAGACGGAAACAAGACTGACTCGAAGACGGAAATAGGGGAAAAAAATTTCTGTCCTTAAAAATATTTTTTAGGTCTACGTTATTGGTCTACTTTCTTTGTTGTTATTTTACAGGGATGACAGACTTCCGCGGAAATCCGCTTTTTTCTCCCAATTTTTAAAATTTCCGACCATGTTCCAAAAACTAAAATTTTTGAAGAGTTAAATTAAAGAACTCTAGTCGCCTGAACGATAGTTGGATTACCGCGACTTCCGCTATAGAGTGGAAAGGAGTCTAAGCGTTTCGTTTCTGACCACCGTTATTTGATTTCTTTTGTTTGGCTGATTTTCCGAATTTTAAATGTTAGGAACTGCGCCGGAATCGCTAAAATCGCGATTTTTAATCAGACGATTTTAATATCAATCATCGATTTTCGTATTTAACTGATTTAAAAGTTACGTGCTGCGATTTTTTTTTTCGCTATTTAAAACTCGTACTAGCAATTCCTATTCACTCAATTTAAATATCCAATATCGCGATTTGTGTTTAAGCGTTTTTAAAACCCAATATCGCGATTTGTATTCTCGCGAGTTTAAAATCCAACGTCACAATTCGTATTCACGCATTTTAGAATCCAATATTTCGATTCATTATCACGCAGTTGTATCGTTTTTCGTATTTGTACGCTATTTAAAAATTACTCATTGCGATTCGTTTTGACCTGATCTAAAAATTATGCATCGTTATTCTTAATTACGCGATTTAAAAATTCAATATCACAATTTGTATTTAAGCGGTTTTAAAACCCAATATCGCTATTTGTATTCTCGCGAGTTTAAAATACAACGTCGTGATTCGTATTCACTCATTTTTAAATCCAATATTTCGATTCATTATCACGCAGTTGTAATATCAGATATCGTTTTTCGTATTTGTACGCTATTTAAAAATTACTCATTGCGATTCGTATTCACGTGATCTAAAAATTCTTCATCGTGATTCTTATTTACGCGATTTAAAAATTCAATATCGCTATTTGTATTTTCGCGTTTTTAAAATCCAACAGCGCTATTCTTATTCACGTGATTTTAAAATTCAAAATCGTGATTCATATTCACGCGATTTTAAAATCCAATATAGTGATTCATATTCACGCGATTTTAAAATCCAATATCGCGATTCTTCAAAGAAGTAGAAGTAAGTTTTTTCTTGAATTAGTTACTGTAAAGATGTGGTATATTTTTCATTAGTAAGCAATTTAATAGTTGTGCCTTCCTATAATTGCTTAATTTTTTTTGATATGGTAGTCAAAATTTTAAAATTCTATTTCGGAAAAATTTGAAGTTAACTGTCTAAATGCTTCTCCCACTTTAAATATTAAATAAGAATCTCCCAGCATAGTTAAAAGTTGCTTTTATAATTCTCAGTATCATATAGAGCACCCCTCCCCCCCTTCCTCCCAGTGACATGCTTTGTAAAAGTTCAGCTTTTTTTATTTTTGTCCACTTTCATACCTGTATATTATCAAAAGACAGATGAATAAATATTTTTTGTACAGTATTTAAACTTGATGTATTATGGTAAAGCTTTCTTAGATAGTTTGCATATGTCGAGGGGATATTGTGTATGTTAGGTATTTCAGTCAAAAAATTTTTAGTCTTGGCCTTTTTTCCAACTTGCACCCATGTTCGTAGTTAAAGACTTTAAACAATAGACTTTGAATATGATGGAAGTAGTGGAAATCAGAATTGTAGAAATCCTAGAGTGCCTAGTTCAAAATGAGCTTATCGTTATAAAATTTGAGGAAAAATAACTGGATTTTAAAACTTTATTGAAATTTCTTTGATTGTACCTTTTTCAATTAGATTACAAATGCTGTTTATGTAATAATCAAAATAAATTCTTTTCATTATTAGCATTTATAAAAATGGTCAAATCTTAACAGTTATTAATAAATTGCTCATGAACTAATACCTCACAACTAATACCTGTACCTCGTAATTTCTGGTTTTTCGCTCTCTCTTTTTGTTTGTAAAAGCTACTATGTAAAAGATACTTGCAGAAATTAAGTCTGTGTCACACATTTTTAGGATCCAATATTGCAATTTTTATTCAAACATTTGTATTCATTCAATTACTTTGTATTTGCAATATCAAACATTATTCAGAATTTAAAACTTCCATGTTGCAATTTGTATTTTTATATTTTTAAAATCCTATATTGTGATTCACATACACAGAAGTTTAATATCAAACATGGTTTTTCGTATTCACATGGTCTAAAAATTATACATTGTAATTTGTATTTACACAATTTTAAAATTCCATATTCCAATTTGTATTTTTAAAATATAATATCATGATTTACATTCACAAGAACTTTAAATCCAATATCGTAATTCTTGTTAAAAGTTTTTTGTAAATTAGTTACTATAAAGGTGTGATATTCTTCATTAGTAGGCAGTTTAACTATATAAATTAGGTTAAATATGAAACATGTATGGTATATAAAATAATATCTTTGTATTTATTTTTTCCACATAAAATTTTAAGGGTTTTTCACTTTTAATTATGTTTGAAAAAAATAAGGACAGAGACATAAGAAAGTTAATTTTTATTGTTGATTTTTTTATTTTGAATACAGCTTTAAGTTATCAAAATTTCATTGTTAAGTCCATTTTCTTTTTTCATATTACTTAAAAGCTCATAAAAAACATGTTGATTAAAGCTTAAGAACATAAGTCAGCATATTTTAATTTTATTTTATTTGAAATTTACTTTGAATAGAAAAATGTTAGGAATTGTATTTAAATGTTATATTTTTGATTTCAAAATGATAAAAGCAAAAAGAGTGTTTTCACATTGTATTTTTGTATTTTAGGAAAATTTTCCTGTGCTACATGTAAAGGGCCATATTGCTCATCCAAATGTCAAGTGGAAGATTGGCCAAAACATAAGCTTTCATGCAAGTAAGAATTTAATTTAAATATAATCCCTTATCTTTTCATGCAGATAGGTGCAGACAAGTAAAAGATATTACTTTTGCACTTTGCTAGGGTGCAGCATTTATAAAATATAAGTAGGGAGTGTCTGGCAGAATTAAGAAATGACCTCATCAGTAGCCAGCATTTATATTTTTAATGCTGGCCTCTTTTAAAAACTTTTTCAAAAGTCATTTTAAAACTTCTTCAAAAATGTTTTTGTAGAGAGACAGTTTGAGAATTTATAATAAACAATAAAAAAGCAGTACAATAATCATATTTTTGGGAAATTATTGAAACTCTACTTAAATTTCAAAAGTCTAATCTTAATACAAATTTTAACAAAAATTATAAGTTGAGGGCTTATTAACTAACTGGTGATTTTTTTAAAAATAAATATCCATGCTTAATCTTTTTAAATTGTGGTTTTTAAAGAATTAAACTAAGTAAATAAACTTGTTTTTCTTCAAATTTTTTTCTTTTCTGTCTTTCTTAATTTGCAACATATTTTTCTCAATTTTGTATAAAATATATCTACATTTAAGAAAATTTATTACAGACTCTTTTTTTTTTCTTTTGAATTATTTTACTTATGTAATTAAATGTTAGTGATATAAAGAGATTGGTTTTTGTATTCTGTAATTATTTCTCTCCCCATTTTCTGTGACTTGTTATGACTAATTAAGTGGTTTAAAAAATAAAATTCCTTAACTTTTAACTGAGCAGTTGAAGAGTTTTCTTATATCAACGAGAGCCATTATTTTTTTAATAAAAGTGATATTAATAGAAAAACATTTGGTTCCCTTTTTGGGCAGTCCCTTTTAACAAATATTGATCTTCTCTTTTTCTGTTATGGTTTCTTTCTTATTTAGGAAAACTATTGGGAGCCTGTTTATGATTTAGAAAAGCAAAAGTTTTGTGAACCAAATACTTTGCTTAGTGTTAAGACATTTTTTTTAAAGAATCAAATACACTTAGTAGATGGCAGATTTTTAGGTTTATTTGTTTCCGTACCACTGAAATACACAATTTGTTTTATTTTTTTGGAGGTGGGGGGCAGCATATCGCAAATACTGTAAACTATCATGATTTTTGCCAACTTTGGCCTCAGAAGGCTGTAATTGTAGATCCTGATTTGGAAGAAATATATCTGATTCTCACATGTATTACTAACTTCTTTATATAAGTGCAGATATATGTTCAAGATGTATAACTTAAGAAATAAATGGAAATTTAAAAAAAGATATCCCAAATATTAACTTTAAGAAAATATATTTTGTTACTTAAATTGCTTATACAGTATTAAATTAAGGTAATCGGTACTAATTAGGTTTCTCAAATAATAATCTTCTTTATTTTTAATATTTTTGATTTTGCAATTTTTCTTTTTTTTACATTTGTACAAATTTGTATGAAGTAAATTTTCAGAACAAACACTTAATCTGCAAAAATTGCCATAAACAAAATTTTTATAATCTAATAAGATTGAACTTTCTTAATTATATTAATTAAGCTTTCATTATTTTTTTCAAATTGTTTCTAATAGTTCTCATAAAAGGTCTCGAGACAGCAGCTACGTATCTGAAAGTAGCGGCTCTGACAGTGAAAAGAAATCTCTGCCTTCTAAATTTGCTGTACCAAAAACTGTCAACAAACAGCCTGTTTTACAAGTAAGTGTGCATTGCATTTTATAATGTTAACTTCTCTTCAGTATGCTTGGAAACATGGGTGCAAGTCTTCCGTCCCCAGGACGGATTTCCGTCTTTCGAAAGTGTCCGCGGACGGAAACAAGACTGACTCGAAGACGGAAATAGGAAAAAAATTTTTCTGTCCATAAAAATATTTTTTAGGTCTACGTTATTGGTCGACTTTCTTTGTTGTTATTTTACAGGGATGAAAGACTTCCGCTGAAATCCGCTTTTTTCTCTCCCAATTTTTAAAATTTCCGACCATGTTCCAAAAAACTAAAATTTTTGGAGAGTTCAATTAAAGAGCCCAAGCCGCCCGAACGATAGTTGGATTGCCGCGACTTCCGCTATAGAGTGGAAAGGAGTCTAAGCGTTTCGTTTCTGACCACCGTTATTTGATTTCTTTTGTTAGGCTGATTTTCCGAATTTTAAATGTTAGGAACGGCGCCGGAATCGCTAAAATCGCGATTTTTAATCAGACGATTTTAATATCAATCATAGATTTTCGTATTTAACTAATTTAAAAGTTACGTGCTGCGATTTTTTTTTACGCTATTTAAAACTCGTACTAGCAATTCCTATTCACCCAATTTAAGTATCCAATATCGCAATTTGTGTTTAAACGTTTTTAAAACCCAATATCGCGATTTGTGTTTAAGCGTTTTTAAAACCCAATATCGCGATTTGTATTCTCGCGAGTTCAAAAATCCAACATCACAATTCGTATTCACGCATTTTATGAATCCAATATTTCGATTCATTATCACGCAGTTGTATCGTTTTTTGTATTTGTACGCTATTTAAAAATTACTCATTGCGATTCGTATTCACGTGATCTAAAAATTCTGCATTGTGATTCTTAATTATGCGATTTAAAAGTTCAATGCCGCAATTTGTACTTTCGTGTTTTTAAAATCCAACAGCGCGATTCATATTCACGTGATTTTAATATCCAAAATCGCGATTCTTATTCACGCAATTATAAAATTCAATATCGCTATTCATGTTCACGCGATTTTAAAATCCAACCTCAGAATTCATATTCAAGTGATTTTATAATCCAAAATCGCGATTCATATTCACGCGATTTTATATTCATAAATTGCGATTCATATTCACGCGATTTTATAATCCGAAATCGCGATTCATATTCACGCGATTTTAAAATCCAATATCGTGATTTGTATTTTCGTGTTTTTAAAATCCAACTGCACGATTCATATTCACGCGATTTTTAAATCCAAAATCGCGATTCATATTCACACAAATTTAAAATCCAATATCACGATTCATATTCATACGAATATAAAATTCAATGCCGCAATTTGTACTTTCGTGTTTTTAAAATCCAACAGCGCGATTCATATTCACGTGATTTTAATATCCAAAATCGCGATTCTTATTCACGCAATTATAAAATTCAATATCGCTATTCATGTTCACGCGATTTTAAAATCCAACCTCAGAATTCATATTCAAGTGATTTTATAATCCAAAATCGCGATTCATATTCACGC